TGCAGCTAAAACTTTGTAAGCATTTCTTATTTCCCACACCTGCTATGTGTGTTGCCCATTCATGGTTTTTGGTTTGATCATTCTAACAATATTAATTATGGAGCTCCTCAGTGCAATTTTTTCCGGCCTCCCGGCACATCTGCCCCCCCCCCCCCGGGGGGGGGGGGGGGGGCAACAAAATTCTCCATCTTGCTCTGAGATGCCGTCAGACTGGTCCGGTTGACTGTGCTCTTTTAAACTCGACGGACAGGTACGACGACAACGAACTTCCTTCGTGAGGCCCGGAAAAAGTTTGGAAATGAAAAGTGTGAACTGTGATTGGGTTTCATTCAAATTCTCAGAGTTTAAATGCACGCATTTCAAAGCGAGTTCTGAGGTACGAATTCGTTTGAAAGCTCTTCACGTCTGGAGGCAGTTTCCGCTCCATTCGTCATTGTTCTTGGGTGCGTTTGCATTTTCCTGTCCTTATCTCCAAGGAAGTGAACACGTTATCAGCTAACTTGTAAGAAACAGACCTTGAGGTGTAGAAGTTCTACCCTTTGTATTAAAATAAGCCATATTTCTAACGTAGAGAGGTCTATTATGCAATTTCCTGTATCAGAATATTACGATAAAGTCCAGCCCGTTCAGTTGAAAAGTTCGTCAGTTTCTTGAAATCAATTGATTTAATTAATTTATTCCGCGTCGAATTTCAATATGGTATGGATGGTGTACAAGGAAAGATGTACGGACATTGCGAGAATAAACTATAGAGATTTTGGACGTACTGTTTTAAGTCGGGTCCGAACCACGGATGAGGGTCACACGCAAACTTCTCGCCGTGGAATCTAGGAGTCAATACTGGGTGACCCCGAGTTGGATTCACGGTGGACGAAGTATCACGGATTCCCTTGCTATCATCATAACTCTCACTTTCTATTATTATTTAGTGTTCTGTCTGAGGACAGGTCCATATGAACAGGATCCTTCCATCCTTTTCTCGGACTGGGACCTGTTCATATACGTTCTTGGCAGATGATCCAGATGTGGTTTGCCATTGCCTTCTTCTGTGTGTGAATGGAGTAATTGTTGGGATGCCACGGAGGAAAACTCCGTGTTGCCTAGACCACGGCCTTGCCCAACACAAGTTATAAATTCGGGCACCGCCGGGAATCGAACCCGAGACCCCAGGATTACAAGGCCAGCGTTCTAACCGCTAGACCACCGTGGCTGTAACTCTCACATACCCTGGGAAATAGTGTAAGGATTCCATCTCTGACTTTGTTGGCTTCGGAGTAGAGGTAGTTTTTTTTTCCTTCTATTGGGAAACAGGCTATGTTGTGCCGTGTAGTCTATTAGAAGTTTACCAACGTTTCAGAGGTCCTTGCTGCCTCCATCATCAGGGCGATCGGAGGTGATGAATTACGCGATAACAAATCACATCGGAGAACGCTTTTGTGAAACGAAACAGAAATTTATGCCCGTGTTTATCCTTCGCAGAGAAGAAGGAGATTCTACATGGGGTCAGCGGTGAATTTCGGTCTGGGGAGCTCACGGCCATCATGGGACCATCTGGAGCAGGCAAGAGCACGCTCGTCAACATCCTCGCTGGCTACAAGTGAGTTTCATTCCAAACAACTTTTTCTTTTCTTTTCTTTTCTTTTCTTTTCTTACCGCTGAATCCATCGCTCTCAGACCACAACAAACGCGCGGCTCAGCCGATAATAAAATGGTTTAACAAACAACAGTCACGCAGAGAGAGACACAGATGTAGGCCACATGGCTGCGACGTTGCCAGCAATCCACTTCGAAGTTAACAGGCCTATTAATTAATTTCTTCGTGGATGCAAAGTCTGTTCGTTACCGCAGATCTCATTTTAATTTCTACCGTCGTTTGTGCTGTGTTGTCAGATTGTACTGACAGACTGATGGATTGCAGGTGGACATAACGGTACGTGCGTGATGTATTTTTAACACAGCAGGATATGTTTTATTTGCCGTACGTCGTGTTTTACGTGACGTAAGTTAAATATCTGAGGCCAACGTGCGTTTCTATGAATCATTATTTGCATAACATACTTGTATCCCGTTCTCATCGCGAGATTTACACAGACTAAACACAGCGGCCCCATCCTGTTCACGCCTTCTGGCGATAATAGTGTTTCCGGGATACGCCCTTCAGATAGGGACCCTCGTCGGCATCTGTCTCACCATCCGACTGCTTTAACCCTGGAGGCAAGAGGTTGAGGGAGTCCCATAACCAGTTCCAACGCGACGACGAAAATAAGAAGTTAGGAAATGTATGAATTGTGTAATTGGGTGTGGAAAGCTGAGGTTTTTACAGATGCTTACATTTGTGTCTTTATATCTTCGAAGCCGAAGAGAGAGAGAGAGAAGGGAGAAAGTGGGGGGAGTAGCGATAGGCACTACTGTTATAAATGGGGGAGGGGTATAAAGTTGGTTGTGGGCTACGAAGGTTCCCAGGCAGTGCCCGCTCGTCCTTCTGGTATGAATAAGTTTAGTGAGGACAAGGGATTTAGGAGACAGGATGGGGTAAGAAATAGGGTAGGGGGGGGGAGTTGATTCGGGTCTTTGCGTTAATTTTGAATTTTGATATTGGCCTTGGGGGTGGCGTTAGGAATAATTTACGTTAATTTTGGGGGGGGCTACTATAGAGCGGAATTTTGATATTACTCTGAGAGGGCTGCATGGGAGGCATGCAGAGCAACGTGGGATTTGGGTACCAACTCAGCATTTGCTCTAGTACCGAGGAAAACCACGGAAAACCTTGGTCGAGTTGGCCGGTCGCAGGACTCGAAGCCGAAGCTCGTCTATATAATACTTTAGAATTCAGTCCGTACCGCACAGAAAACACCATACTTCACCATTAAAAAGATCCGCTGGTTTATAGGTTTTCACAGCGGTGTGTCTGAAGATTTCTGTCTTCTGGGTTGTTGCGCCGTGTAGTCTGGTAGATTTCCACCAACGTTTCAGAGGTCATACTGCCTCCGTCATCAGGGTGACGACTACAGGGCGCAATAACCCAGAAGACAGAAATCTTCGGGTTTAATGATATTTCCGAAACAGCAACTTAAAGAGATTTTGAGATTCATTCCCACATCGGTGTTAGGTTTTTTTTCCACAGCGGCACAGAGCACGTGAGTTGGTAAACCCATTCATTAGCTACACGCAACTTTCACCGACTCCGACCGCCTCAATAATGAATGACTGATCTTGACCTCACTTATTGACATTTGGAACATAAATAACACTGCACAATGGATATCGCTGACGCACGACCCATGACTTGAAAAAGCAATGGTGTCCATTCTCTCTGTTATTAAGGCCAAAGATTCGAGTCCCACACGAGGTATCGATATATCTCCGCGAAACTTCAGAATTCTAAAATCACAACAGGCCAGAGGGTCCCTAATCCGTCACACCTTAAATTATAATTACTTACACAGATAATATTATAAACATTTCCTCTTAAGTCAGCAAAATAGAAAAAATAATCTTATGATGTATAAGTATAATACGAACATAATGCACCGTATCAGGCAGTTGATAAATAAGACGGTAATGAAATAGAATATAGCATTATTACAAAAATCATAGGACAGTGAAACATTTTTGAAGTCCGAATTTCATCTCAGTAGCATTAAAATATACAGTTGATATCGCGAGTAATAGTTTGCTAATGCCGTTTAAGGAAATAATCGATGTTTATTCTGAAAACCATATTAAACCCATAAATAATACTACTGAAGCAAAATGCAGGTGGTGAATATAGTTACCACATGGTTTTAAAGAGCCAGAGTTTAATCCGATTAAACTCAAACTAACACAGGACAGCGAGGATTTACTAAGATTAAACGAGCAAGCAACAACAGAATCATTGGCCTGTTTTGGTCTTGTGAAATTTCTTCCTGACTCTTGAACTTAAACGAAAGCTTCACAGCAAAACAGGCATCCCGATTAGTCCAAGAACTCGGAAGATGGCTGTCTTGTGTGATGTTGC